AGTCAGAAAGAGATAAAGAAAAAGTAACAGGAAGCAAATAACACATTATAAATCAAGGCTTTAAGGCTTCAAGTCAGAAAGAGAGCTAGAGAAAAGGGAGCAGGAAGCAAGCAGCAAATTGTAGATCTGAACTTACGCTCACAGTCGGGAGACGTCGTACCGCGTTCGTTTCATCGGCCGCGGTGACACGCGGAGGCACCTTGCGCGGCATCCGCAATCATTTGCACACCGCTAATCAGTGAGCGGAGAGAACGGAGTTTTCGCTCGCTCGGGGAATATTGCGGCCCCCGATACACGGAGACGCCAAAACGTCGTTAAGCACTGCCAACCGGAGGTTGTTAATGAACTACGTGAAATTAATTAGGGCCGCGTGTCACGACGCCGGAGAGACAACGCCGGCATCTCGGAGAGCGCACGCGGCACGCTCGCTCGGCCCGACCAGTGCGCCGGTAGGAAGTTGTAGCTCTGATTCGAGATTATCGATAATGCCGGGCCCCTCAGGTACCTAACTATCGCGACTCGAGCCAGCTCGGCGTATCGGCCAGCCAAGTTGGTCGACGTTCGACGTGACCGACCGGCTATTTCCACCCGAGTCTAAGCGCGAGTACGACGAAACTTTGCGGAACGTTGACGCGTACCCAGAAGGTAGAGCAACGGTCGTTATTCTCGTTTCCGGGTCGAATGTCGTCGAACAAGACAGGAAGCACGAGGAAATGAGATCATTTGGAGATGACTCGCGTGCGACAGACGGCGATTAGAGATTTAAAACACCGGGCATTATTCGTTCATCTCTACGACGTTCAAAGATACCTCGTTCCACAATCTCCGAGTCTTGAATGAAACGCTGGATATTTTCGTTGCGCCTTGACGTAGTGGCAGAACTGTAGATGTTAGATGAATGCACTGACCTACATTGAGCTTGCCTTTCATATTTTAAGAGACACGACGGTAAAAGTCGATATCGTTTGTATCCGACATTTTTGAGCTCGTGGACTCGGAAGTTTAACCGATATGAGCGACGCGATTTAATATTACGCACGGACTTGCTTTCTCGATGCTGGAGAAAATAAGGACTTATAAAAGAGAAAGATAGAGAGAAAGAGAGAGAGATGTATATACAGGGTGGCCCAGACTTTTCTCTGAAATTTTTGTGGAAACGGATTGAAGTGAACATAAAATATCCATACCATACCATTTTGCGATAAATCTCGAGATATTAATTAAAGAAGACTAGTGAATGATCACGCGCGATAAATGAGCTGTAGTGGCGTCGTCTGCCGTCGTATACATTAGGTAAACTGAATAAAATTTAAACAGAAATTATAGAAAGCTCCTTTTTAGAATAACTAACAGTAAGAATTGAAGAGGCAAATAAGGAGTACAGCACGGATGTCTTAGTGCTATTAAATACTAATATTACTTTTATATAATATTAATATGATAGTGGGAGGATAAGTCCAGCATGTCAAACGCACGTATCGAAATTTTTCTTCGATTAACGTACGCGGCGAATCTACCTTTCATACTTAGACCGATCCTTGAGTCCCAATTTTATATATATATATATATATATATATATATATATATATATATATATATATAT